AGTCACTAGTCCGAGGCAACCCTTTTTATGCATCTAGTCAAGTCATTTTATAAAACCTTTCCACTCGTCTTTACAGACGAAATGAAAGCTATACCAGCGTAAGCCTTATCTTCCTCGTTTCAAAGAATTAGAACACTTTGGTACCAATACTTTGTACGCCAAGAGGTTAGGGTTGTGAGATCGACATACAGCACAACCGGTTGTAACCAGACCAACGGCGATTGCTTGGTCATAACTCGGGGTCACCGAACCTATTTTTACAAGATTACCAACACCGCCTTGCCAGAAATCATCAAAGGTTGGGCATTGTCGGAAAAATTCAATTATCCATTTTACTCTTAGACGTCCAAATCGTTTATCCTCCTTATCATGTTCTCCTCTTTTTTATACGATCAACCTGATCAGCTTGTCGTGCATAAGATTGTCATAAGACTTCCGTCGAATTCATTAATTTAGTTGGCAGTGAAGTCGAGTCTCCCCTTGTTTCGAAGCTGCCCACTTGGTATCATGTCATCGCAGGATATATACAATCTCTTTTTGGTTGACTAGTTATAGCAAGGCATAGGGCATGAAGACACAAATCTGTACATCGTAGCAGAACAGAGGGGACATTTATTGGCTTATAATGAAACATCGAGGCAGACACTTTGAGTAACAGGCGTACGAAGTCCGTCATCTTGACCGGAATAGCTGGATCTTATATCACCAAAAAGAGAGTAATAAGGCCCTTTAGCAAGGCGAATGAAGCTTAAATTCTTCTACCAGTCTTTCATCACCTTAAACAAAATTGGGTAAATACATCTCATATTACTGATTTACTGGTAGTCTCGAAACATTACTTAAAATGCGTAAAAAATAAAGTAATGTAGTAGATTATTATAGCAAATATACGTTTGCTTCATCGACAATCCCACCAACGAATATGATATGACAAAAAACCTGGCCTTCCTTGAAAGTCACATTTGACCTCTGACCCAAAGGTACTCGTGGCAATGTGGCCGAGTGGTTAACGTGTCAAGTCCACATGCCGCATTGTCACGGTTCGACTCCCGCTGAAGGC